ATCTACGCGAAATTTAATTAAAAAAAAGGATGATGGAAAATGCGACCGTCGAAGACAATAGCTTTAAAATGAAACCCGTCGATGCGAAAAATGTCCCAAGGGCTTGAAAAGGAAATGAAATTATTATTTGCCTGGAATCGACAGTCAAGAGATTTAAAGCTTATAATAAAGCACGTTTATCAATAAATGTACACTTTTATGATTAGAATATACTTTTTTTAAATTAATTAAATTATATATAAATACAAATAATTTGATTTTAACAGCACGTCTTCCTCCAATGTGGACCAGGGAATTGAAAACCCCTGCACTAATGATCTTTGACGTGTTTAAGCTTTCTTTCGTCTCAACTCTATATAATTAAGTAAATTAATGATTGAAGGCAACCAAACAGCAAATGCCTAAGTCCTTACATCGCATACTTGTACCAAAATACAATCTTTATTGTGTTTTTGTTCTTGTTGCAATACTATAACTGTTACAATACGATTCCTAAATTATCTATAATTGTTTTAAACAATTGTTTGTAATGTAATCTGCTATTATTAGGGATGTAAATTGCAAATTATACTTGCTGATAGGATTATTATGAACGATTTCTGTTATGCGATGGACATTTACGTAGGTAAAAGGTGGGGAACGTCACGTGGGTGAACTAATAATAGAATTGGGATTGGCCAAATATCGATTAATTCAATTTGAAACATTCCACCACATAAATAATAACTGAAATGCATGTGATGTACGGAAATAAAGATACATCTATTTCCGTCGAATAATATGATGAATTTATTTCAGTTTTAGACATAAATTTAAAACGAGAATCACACATTCGCATTCGAAATCACACTTATATTTAATCTGAAACTGCGAGTAATTATTCATGCCGTAGTTAACAATCTGTTTTTGCAAGCAACACAATGGCATTGTTTGTTATGTACAATGCGATTTGCAATATGTAATGAATTATAACAAACGCATTTATATTCGAATGAATAACGTTCGGAACATATGTTACTATTATTATTATTACTTTTTTTGTGAACACGTAAATGCAGTATGTGCATCTGACAGTGATAAGTTCAGGAACGTGACTGTGCAGACTGGAATGGTCTTAATGCGTATGTTCAGAGACTGTTTGTACGTTTTGTAAATGAAACAAAAAAAAATATATATTAAATAATCTATGGGATAAAATGGGTCTCAAATTGGAAAACAAAAAAAATCATTAAATGGAAAACAACAAAATCTATGTAGCGCTGTAGCCATTAGCTGCTTTAAATATTAAATACTTTTAGCGTTGATTCAACCTTTGCTCAAATAACACGATCGATAATCCAGAGATGGATCGCTGGGTTAACACTGTTTGGGACACCTGAGATAACACGGGTTTTGGGCTGCAGCTCATAAAGATCTTGCCTAAATCATCCCCTGGGTGTTATTTAACTAACTTTTGTATGGATTAAACTATAGTTTTCAAAGTTACTTATCTTCTAAAACTATTGTAGATAAATTAATTATAAGGTGAAACATTCCACAACGTTTATACAGCTTGGAAACGTTAACCGTAATTGCGGCATACTCATTTGTTGTTTGCCCTTGTACTTCAAATTTATGCGTAGCTGAACATCTCGAGAATCTGGTATTTCCGAAATGTATGCTCAACGGTCGCATACTAAACATAATATGCAGTAAATATAATAATTTTAATTTCATTTCACGAATCGTATAACGTTAATTATATATATTTTAATTAAATAACGTTTTCACCGAAACCTATCGAAATCTCAACAATCTACGTTGAAATATTGCTAATTTTTCACCAAATGTTTGTAGCAGTTAATGACTATTTGTGAAAACCAGAAGATGTAGAAATCCGAAGGTCTGATCTGCATACAACTGAGACAAACTCCAACTATTTTTGTTGGTTGTAGTAAATGTAAGGACTTATATTGTAATCATTGTAAATTGAGCCAAAATCATATATCAAAATGCTCGTGGATGTTTGATTTTGATATTTTGAAACGTTTCCTTTCAGACTATATTTGCACAAGTTAATTGTTTTTAACAATTCTTATATATTTAGGCAATGTTAATCTGCATGAACGAACGAACTTGTAGGATAATATTATGGAAGTTTATTGTACTGTTCTGGTATCGATTTATTTTTCATAATCTTTATGAAAATTTTGTTATTTGACTTAAGAAATGTTTTCTTTAAGTAATTAAGGTTATTGCATTCCATAGGCAACAGAACTCCAATATTATACAACTTCAGAAAACATATTTGAAGCAGGATTTAATGATGAAGTATTTGATCAATAATGTTTGATAAATCTTACGAGTTTCGATTCTACTAACTACTCCATGGAATTAGGGATTTCTCGGAGCGGTTCATTAGAAACCATTGTCTGTTCCCATCACATAAACCATGTTCTAGGGATTTCTTTTCATAAACTTAACTTTCTTTAACTTTTAACAATACTTCAACTTTATTTAAACAGAAGATTATTTGACTTTTCTATAATTTCAATAACTAAAATTAAAAAACATAAAACCAAATAAATTGAATATGTTTAAAACCATAATTATAGAAATGTTTCACCTATAAAAATAACTGCGTAGTAAATTATAAAAGAGACAATCATATTTTTAATATGAAATAAATTGCGCATTGTTTGTTTCCTTTTAAACGATGACGATCAGGTTGTATTATTATTCCATAAATAATTTATGAAATATACTGTGTTTTGCAAATCGATTAATTGAAGCAACAAAAAAGGAATATTAGCATTGTTTCCTGCTGCCCGATTCTTTCAACCTGAATTCTGATATCAGAAATGAATCAATGAATGAATGAATGAACTCCATAAAGGAAAGAGTGAGGGCAAATGCAATGCATACATGCATATCTGGTTTCTCGAAAAAAAAATAAATGTGTTACACTCGCGCTTTGCCTTTCACTAATATCCAATCAAAAGATTATTGAGTAGTTCACCGTGAATTAATGAGAAAGGATATTATCATAAACATACTTCGTTGACTTTGTTCACTCTTATTGTGCGTCGTGACTTTTTTGACCGTTATTACGTTACGTAAATATATTATATCTACTAACATAAATAATATTGTTTATAATGTATATGAAGCATGAATGTTAATGGAGAAGTATTTAAAAGGTAGATCAATATTTACAACTTATACTATTACAAATTGTTGAAAATCCTGAAATCTTTCCAATTGTATTATATTCTAATATAATTCTCAATTTAATTAGTAACGATTACTAAAGATTTGGAACCAAAATATATTCAAGTTATTCCTTCCCAGTAAAATGCATTCATCTAATTGCTTAATGACTTAAAAAAAAGACTTATAGATTAGTAAACTAGACGAGGTTAACAGACTGGACAAAATAGAAAAACCCAAAATTAAACATTCCTGCATAATTCCATGTATAGTCGTATCAACATAAACATTGAGAATTAATGGAATAGAAAAGCTTTCATAAAGTATTTTTACAGAATATATTTCGCTGAAAAAGTGTCTTTACTTATTTTTTCCTAAGAAATTACATTCCTAGACATTTTCTGATTCTTTCTGACTCACTTATTATTCAATCAAAGCAAAAAAATCCAAGAGGTTTTACCACTTATTGCTTTTTTTTAATAATCTAATACATATATAAATGTTAAATATGAAATGCACGAGCATTTCTAATTTATTTAACGTTACGTTATAAAGCGCTGTGCGTTTTTTTCCTCCTTCTTGAAAATAAATGCATCACTAATGCCCCAGACTAAAGGAAAATTAACAGACGTAAAAACCGTAACAGATCACAACCGTATCCGTGTTACGTTATGCAACGGCATGGGACGCACACACACGGCCCATGGCGGGAATTTTTTTTGGCGTCAATTCTCATGGAATCCGAAACATTTAATTATCTGTATCTTACGAGAGGAGGAGTGAATTGTTGTTAGTTGTATAGGTAAAAAGGTCATTCACTTCGGTACACTGCACGCCTTCGACGACGGTGTTTCGCAATGTTTAAGGTACTCTAGGTTCTTGAACTTATGCAAATTGCCCGATCGGAATATGTCGCAATAAATGATGCAAGACACTTCGGTCAAAATGAAAAATTGCAATTGTATTGAAATCATGTTACTGAAAGCGTTTCACCGTATGAATGGATGCTTTGCATTTCAAGATTTGCATTTGAATATGTCACACACTTTTTTTTTACAATATTTACTACCGGTTTGAAAATTTTTATTGTTTTTAAGTTAATTTGTATAGTCCAAAATAATTTCTTTCTTTAAGTGAATCAATTTGTCATAAGCGAGGCAAAAATACTCTTAATTAGTTCTTGTGCGTTACTATTATTCAAATGATCAATAAGACTTGAAATTAGGATCAATAAACATTTATAAAGAAATAGCATTTTTTTATAATAAGTTGTATTTCCATGAAATTTATTTTATTAACGTAAAAATAGCAGAAAGGCTAACCTTATTATTATTATTATTGATCAAGGGCGTAGTGGAGCGTAGACAAATCCCAAGAGGATGGAAGATTGTTGATGCCAGATCCAATTATATTAGATATGATATGATGACCGCAGCCGCTTCTTGATAAAGCTACTAGAGATGGAAAAAAAGAGCAGAAAAGCAGAAGCACAAAATCAATAAAATTGGAATATTCTGTAGCAACCACCGTACAAATTATGCATTCTCTGGATTCGCCGTTGACGTCAACGGATAGTGTGAAATTTTAAGTGAAAATGTAAATGCATGAAAGAATTTCAGACATTTATTCATTCCGTTGACATTCCAGCAGCAACGAAAAGGCAGGAAAATTCCGAGACAAGTGCAAAAGAACTGTGTGCTGCAACGTAAATTTAATTATCATACTAGTTTTGCGGCGTCTCTCTCTCTCTCTCTGTTTGTTCCTACATTAGCGTGTGAACGCATTATAATCTAGTCTGTTTTTTCCCGCAGGGATTCCAGGAGACGAAAAAGGTTATTTCGGCCCGTGGAAAACCTGCAAATTGCTGCTGTACCACAGGGAGCGCTGCGGAAAGGACGACTCCAGATTCCGACCTTCAAGTAAGCACATCCCTCCATTTAATCTCTTTCTTTCTCTCTTCTCTTGCGGAATTGAAACGAGATTTATTGCGTAAGGCGAAAAGAAAATTGCGTGGAAAGTCAACCGAATACCGGTACGATCAAAATGTAATTAATTCCAATGAGATGGGATGATTTCTTTTCGTTTTGTTCTCTCATTGTCTCAGATTTGCACATCATTTGCTTAAAATAAACTTTCTACTCTTGCAAGCTTTTGTTAACTTCTCTCTCTCTCTGTCTTATTATTATTATTGTAATTATGTCTCTTATTTTTTTGAAGATTCACACTGCTCCGTCATTATTGTTTTATTCGCATTGTCTTTGGTGGTAATCTTAATTTTAATTTTAGTCGCAGTATGGGTGGCTGGGATCGTGGCCGCCTCCGGTGTGGCCATCCTCGGAGTCTTTTGTTTCCTCAGCATTCTCCAGTTAGCGATGTTGAGTTCGAAGGAAAAGGTTCTTATGAAGTACAGCGTCGTGGTGATCATGAAACTAGCGATGGGATTGCTTGCAAGTGAGTTGTTTTTCGTTCTTTTTTTGTGTAATGTGATGAATCGACGTGAAAGATTATTGACGTCCAAGCGGAAATGAAAAGTGAAACCCCGGTGATGTGCCGGACATTGGAGGAAATGAAAAA